CTGTAAAATTAAACGAATAAATGGGCCTAATAATATGAATAAAAATTATATAAACAACAATATACACAAAAGTTTTAAAAGTAAATTATAGACCATAATTTTGATAACTGCACTTTTGCTCAATGTGCACAATAAAAAATGTAAATGGGCTTATAACCATTGTACACACAAACTGCTGTAAAATTAAACGAATAAATGGGCCTAATAATATAACTAAAAATTATATCAACAAAAACGTAAAAAATATAAATACATAAATGTTTAAAAGTAGGCTAATTAATTATTAGGCCAGCCTATATAAATCGGCTTAGGCCTATATCATCTGTACTTACACACAAAAAAAAAAAAAAACTGTAAAATTAAACGAATCAATGGGCCTAATTATATAAATAAAAATTTGGCTATAGGCCTTCATCAACATGTTAAATTAAAAAGTAAATTAACTAGGCCTATTAGGCCACCAGACTTATATCTAACTGAACTTTTACGTACGTGGAAAAAATTTTAATTGTCTCAAACTAAAAAAAAAAAGACAGAAGAAGAAGAATTGCTGTCCTTATCTAGCCTACAGTTCTTTTGATTTCACCTTCAAGAGTTTGGACAATGTCTGAGGCTTCAGACACATGCGGTAGTTTCTTGAAAGCAGAAAGGGACTGCGCTCGCAGACCCGCTTGGGGATGCTGAATACAATGCAAGCAACTTTAGTCAGGCGGGGAAAAGACGCGGAGTTTTCTCGTGCTGTGAGCGGAGTCCTTTTAAAAATGCCGCTGTGTCCAAGATCCGCTCGCTCGCGCTCCCCTCCGCTCACATGCTGTGCTGCGAATGTAAGTTACGTGCCCGCCCCAGCGCGCTCGCGCTTCCTAATAAACGCCCCACCTCCGGCGCCGCGCACTCGCTATTGGATGCATAACGCAAACCCAGTCAAACCCCGCGCCTTATAACCATATGAAAAATGTTCTAAAATATATAAAAAATAAAATCCGCACCGGATTAAGGCGCACCTTCAACGAATGACCAATTTTAGAACATTTTTTCTCCTTATAGTGCGGAAAATACGGGTATGATAAAAAATAAGCATGACCTACCTTATGAAATCTGCAGCCGTTGCATCAGCGCGCTCTTCTCCGCGACCCTTTCAATGATGCAATCCGTGTCCAAAGAAACCAGTCTCTTTTTCGATTGCCATCAACATAAAGGCTTCAAGATGCTCCTCCGCTGTGATATTCTTGATGAATTGTAGCGTGGAAAAGCTTCGCTCACATGCAACTTGTGTCAGACAGAGTTGACAGAAACTTGTATCCAAGTCCGATTAGATGGTATGAGGCATAATAACAACAGATGGGACGTTTTCTGCAAGATTGGCAGGTTTTGTTCACAACATCCCATTCTTCATCTGCAGTCTGCTCATCATCTCCATCCTCAGTACCTCCAGCTTGTCCCAGTGCGTAGCCAGGCCTAGTTCACCCTGTAACCGTCGGCCTTCGCACGCGTGCACAGTCGGCTGCTTCATGTTGTCTTTCTCGCTCAGGGCCTTGAGTGAACAACAAGATCAACGTAAAGACATCCTTCTGGATCCCCAAACACTTTTGTAAGCGCAGCGTCTTTGGCCCACCATCGGGTTTCAACCCTGATTAAGCGGAGCACTCCACCTGCTTCGTTTAGCCGTAGTCACGTGACGTAGGTGTTTTGAATCACGCTTCGGATCGTGTTTCGAATCATCTTCGCTTCGGGATCTCGCAAAGCTTCGAAACGTCTGTTTCGCGTCAGCCATCCCTAAAAATATCCCGTAGCCTATAAGTAAATTAAAAAAATAATAATTCCAACATTATTTGTGAAAGTCCAACAAAGTTAAAATATATAATTAAACACTCAAACCTAAAAAGTTGTGTGGCTCCCCGTTTTCATCATTGTACACACTTGGCGGCTTAGTTGTAACACTGTAGCTAATCCCACTGTGTAAAAAAAAAAAATATTTTAAGCCTATATCTAAAAGTTGCTGGGATTTGCTGACATGTTTCAAAACGGTGCTATGTTTTAGCCAACAAGACAGTTAGGCTAGTAAGGCAATATAAAGTTAGATTTGGTGACATATAGCCTATATACACCCAACTCAAGACACCGAAAAAAAAAACTATGATGAAAAAAATGTAGGTAGCTATTGCATGGTGTCCAGTAGGCTATCTTAATCAAAACTTTCCACAAATTCGCAGGAGACCGCTTGATCCTGACTAATACGGTCCATGTTACATTTAACCCCGCGTTAATTGTGCCCAGCGCTCCCCTAGGCCTCCTATGAAGTCATGTGAAGTAGCTATTTTTTACGCTCTGACTGTGTTAAACTGACTCAGAACACGCAACTATCTGTGTCTCGGCCCAACACAATAGAAAATCACACCGGCCCTTCTAGCATGTGCCAGAATTGCCAGATGGCCAATCCGGGCCTGCCTGTCAAGATAATGAATTTAAACATATCCAACTATAAACATGGTAAACTCATACCCATCATCGGCATCCTCTAGCCTGAGTTCGGGCTGGCATGCAGGGCATCCTCTGTTTAATACATTTGAAATGAACAAATTGCTAACAATCAATCATACTCGACATGAAGACATAAATAATGTTGTTATTAGGACGAGGCCCTCGGGTGCCGGTCATCCTGCTGATCTGATTCCCTCATCTACTGCAGACTTCTCCTTCCCCGTGGGTGTTTGGATGGATTGGCTCGACTCTCTGATGTGGGATTAGGCTTGAGTTCATCATAACCACAGGCCTCAAACCAATCTCCGTGGAGAAAAGAGTTGCAGAAACCAGCATCTTCACTGAAAACATCACGTGGACCAACTTACACACACATTTGGTCATTTTTCCCTTAAATTACATGTGTCGTTTGACTCAAACCTCACTTTTTAAAATCAATCAAAATAATTTATTTTAACAAAATTCATCCATAGAAAGTAAAAAGATGATTTAAAGGCAAACCAATACACTTTCTTTAGAGATAAGCTAAAATATGCCAATAAAATACATTTTCAGCTTTTTAAAACTTATTTTCACCATAAAGCTGGATTAATTTCAGGTACCAAATGTGGGCCGGATCCACTATGTTGCTGTCTGGATATACTTTTAATGAAATTATCATCACATATTGACTTAAAAGTCACTTTATTGTGATCAGTGTTTGATTTGTTTGGGCTCTTGAACCTTGACTATTTGTTTCTGTCTCCTTTACCTGCTGTAAAACACATACGCTGTTGCTCAGAAAGTCAAGATAAAATGTGATAAGGTGATGTTCAATAACTAACTAATGATGAAATCTTAATGAAGTGGCCTTATTTATTGATCTCATCTGAAGTATTTTGAACTACTGTTCAAATTAAGACACCAACAATCAACATGAGTGACAATCAACAAAAACCTTCATGCTGCAATGCATCCGTACAAAACTGCCTGTTTGAATAAATTAAGCAGCAGAGATGTCCTAATGTTTCTATTATTTTTGTTGTGACTAGGGATGGGAAACGATTAATCGCATCCAAAATAAAAGTTTGTGTTTACATAATGTACAGTATGTGTGTGTAGTGTGTATAATTATTTTGCATATATACAAATACACATGCATGTATATATTTAAGATATAAAATATATATTTAAACATAATTTATAGTAAATATAAATATTAATATTTTATATATGAATAACACATTTTTCTTAAATAATTAATTTAAGAAAAATTTATAATTTTCTTAAATTAAGAATAATTAAATAATTAATTTAAGAAAAATGAATAATTTTCTTAAATTAAGAATTAGAATAATTAATTTAAGAAATATTTGCATGAATGTATATTTAAACATAATTTATAGTAAATACAAATATTAATATTTTATATATTAATAACACATTTTTCTTAAATAATTAATTTAAGAAAAATGAATAATTTTCTTAAATTAAGAAAAATTAAATAATTAATTTAAGAAAAATGAATAATTTTCTTAAATTAAGAATTAGAATAATTAATTTAAGAAATATTTGCATGAATATATATTTAAACATAATTTATAGTAAATACAAATTTTAATATTTTATATATTAATAACACATTTTTCTTAAATAATTAATTTAAGAAAAATGAATAATTTTCTTAAATTAAGAATAATTAAATAATTAATTTAAGAAAAATGAATAATTTTCTTAAATTAAGAATTAGAATAATTAATTTAAGAAATATTTGCATGAATATATTTAAACATAATTTATAGTAAATATAAATATTAATATTTTATATAGTAATAACACATTTTTCTTAAATAATTAATTTAAGAAAAATTAATCATTTTCTTAAATTAAGAATAATTAAATAATTAATTTAAGAAAAATGAATAATTTTCTTAAATTAAAAATTAGAATAATTAATTTAAGAAATATTTGCATGAATATATATTTAAACATAATTTATAGTAAATACAAATATTAATATTTTATATATTAATAACACATTTTTCTTAAATAATTAATTTAAGAAAAATGAATAATTTTCTTAAATTAAGAATAATTAAATAATTAATTTAAGAAAAATGAATAATTTTCTTAAATTAAGAATTAGAATAATTAATTTAAGAAATATTTGCATGAATATATTTAAACATAATTTATAGTAAATATAAATATTAATATTTTATATATTAACACATTTTTCTTGAATAATTAATTTAAGAAAAATTAATAATTTTCTTAAATTAAGAATAATTAAATAATTAATTTAAGAAAAATGAATAATTTTCTTAAATTAAGAATTAGAATAATTAATTTAAGAAATATTTGCATGAATATACTATATATTTAAACATAATTTATAGTAAATATAAATATTTTATATATTAATAACACATTTTTCTTAAATATATACATGCACGTGTGTGAATTTTTATATACAAAATAATTATACACAGTACACACACACATATTATGTCAACACAAACTTTTATTTTGGATGCGATCAATCGTTGCCCATGCAGCCCTAGTTGTGACTTTTAACAGCTTGCTTTGTGATGTGCTATTACAGCAGTTTTATTAATAGTGCAACAAGCTTTGAGTAAATCAACAAATTACAAAACAAGGTCAGTGAATGAAACCATTTTACGACTCAATCAAAGGTTAAAATGTTGTGATGTGGAGAGAAAAATGTTTGTCATTTGCATAATCAATTTTATTTTTACATAATTAAATGTCATTTTCTTCTTCTGATTTGAGGGTTGAACGTGAAGAATGAATCCAGACTTTGCTGATTTAAATCTCGTCTGGATCCTCCTCACACTCGCTGAAACGCTAAAAGGCCTGTTTATGGGAGCGGAAGAGAAATAAATGTTTTATCCACACCTTCCCTTTCCTCTCTCCAAAATGAATTATACATCACATCCTTGAAAAGCCAAAGCTAATGTGTGTTTGTGATGGTTCTTGTCCTCCAAAACGTACATGATTTTCTGTCTCCTGGAAAGAAATCAGAGGATGTTTTTATGACACAGGCCTCAAATTATGATTCTCTGGGATTCTTGATGGAGATATTTCTATATAATGCCTCTAAACTCTACAACTGATCATTGTTTCAGGTCATTTCACTTACGTTTCAAAGTCGAAAGTTCTGGATCTGTGCTATTTTTAATGATTTTAAAGGCTTCATTTATTTGATAAGAAAAAACAGTAATATTGTTAAATATTATGACAATTTAAAATAACTGTTTTCTATTTAAATATATTTCAAATGCAATTTATCAAAGCTGAATTTATCATCATTACTCCAGTCTTCAGTGTCACATGATCCTTCACAAATCACTCTAATATGAGGATCTGATGCTCAAGACACATTTATGATTGTTATCAGTGTTGAACACAGTTATTTACTTTTTTTCAGGATTCTTTGATGAATAGAAAGTTTAAAAGAACAGCATTTCGTTAATCGTAATAATTTGTAGCATTTTAAATGTCTTCACTTGATGAGAAAAAGTATTGATTTCTTTTATTTCTTTCCACCAAAAATAAAATAATAATATTTTGTCATAATATTTAACAATTTTAGTGTGTTTTTTATCTTTTAATCAAATAAATGCATCCTTTGTGAGCAGAAGAGACTTCTTTTAAACACATTTAAATCTTACCAATCCAAAACCTCTGACTGGTATGTGTTATGAAAAACTTAACAAGTTCACAATATATTCACTAAAACCAGCTTTTTCCATTGGGTGGATAAAGTCAGTAAGTGTGAACATTAATAATCTCCATGACCGTTTATAATATGCTTGAATAATTACGACAGGCCACTATGAATATAATTTTAATTGCATGACCTATTAAGATGCTGGACCGTTTTAATTATGCATGTCCAGTAGAGTCGTTCAAAGCCTGTGAGCAATATGAACTACACTTGAGTTAATGCCATTTAATTATTGTAAAATGAATTGTAATTGTCACACGGACTCTAAAAATGAGTCAGTTCATATTTTCTCCACCAGTTTTTCTTTGTCTCATGAATACCTTTACCAAGTGTTTTGTTGTTCCCTCATATTTAAAACATATATTTTGACGGGTTTATTAGTCGTAGGGTCATTAAAAACAAATATCCGGACATCATTTATACATTATACAACATATACTACTTTTGTGTGTGTATGAGTGCATGTGTGAGAGAGAGTTATTTATTTAAAAGATGAATAAATAACTAATACATTTTATTACTAATAATTTATTAACAATAATAACTAATAATGTATTTGTTTATTTGAAAAAAATAATTTTATTAATCTTATATTTCATTTTCTCTAGACTTTTTCACGGATGCTGAAAACCCCTGACTTTATGAAACTGCTTAAATTATTTCGATGAGTTACAGTAACGGAAAAACAAATGTTGCCGTGACTTATTGATCATATTCTCTTTACAGAAAGAACAATCCACTCAATATTCATCAAAACTTAATTTTTCATGCAATACAACAAACAATTTCCCCCTAATTCAACTTTAAAATTTGAGTTCAGCAGCTGTCGTAAAATTTAGGTTTAATCAAAATCATCATTATTAAACTTGCATGAACTGTAAACCTGAATAAGTTGCAAAAAAAAATGACATTAAGAAATTCAAAGTTTATGCAACTGATTTTTATTTTGTACTCAAGTTAAGAGTGCACTAATCCTAACTTTTTAAAATTTTCATATAACCTCAATGTGAACATTTTTATTATTTAAAAAACTTAGCTAGCTGTACAAGCTAGTTCATTAAATGCTAAATTCACAAAGCTCAAATAATTCGAGGTATTCTTTACATCAAGAAATTTAAATTAGAAATGTATCATTTAAGCAGAACTTGAATATTTTTATTTGTACTCATAAATTTGAATTGCTCTTAACTTAAAATATTTGAGTAAGCTAATTCATACACAATTTAAGATTATCATGTAAACAACTTAAATATATTTAGTAGTGGAAACTTGGCTTGCTAACCAGCTAATTCAATAAATGCTGCTTTGCTAATTGGTAGCACAATGGTTTGATGATAGCTTTAGCATAGCACGTGCTAAATGAGCGAAACCAAACACTCCCCAAAGACCTAACATAACAGAAACATTATATAACACTTAATTCTAGCGTTTACTCCTCCTTTTAAGGGTCATGGCAAAGCATGCTGGGAAATTCAATTTAAGTTTGTCTAAATTAAATTAAACACGTTCATAAAACTATTCAAATTACTTCTGTGAACTCAAAAGAAAAACTAAAGTTTTAAATACTCATAAAAGTTAATTTGATTGAGTTGGCTCTACTCAAACCAATTAGCTATTTTGAGGGTTAGGGTTCACAGTGAAGTGAAATTATTTTGAAGAGTTAAAGCAATTTTTAAAAATGAATATATATATATTTTAATATGACATTGATCACAAAAGTTTTACGGTGTAGCACTAGAGGACTCTTACCGTCAGTAATGGATGAGTGATGGTGAAGTCTGGAGTCCCTGAGTTTGATGAAAGCTGAATTGTTCATCTCAGACTGTTAACGATTCCTCATGCAAACCTGCAGCAGAAGCTCATCCAATTTACATGGAAATCTGAGACTCTAGTTCTTTGTCTACGTCACAAATCTCATCAAATACATGCCAAAGAGTGTGGACACACACACACACACACACACTCTCTCTCTCTCCTAAATCAGGAGATCCGGCGGCTTCATAATTAGATTTGCTTGGGCACATTCACTCTAATCTATTTATGCATTTCCCTTTTTCGAGCCTCATTGAGATTCCATCGCCTCATATTTGCACGTCGGCTGTCAAAACCGGCCTTCCTTTTCCTCACGATTTAAAGCTCATTTCCCGAGCGGAGATGGAGAGCGATTGTTTCGACGGGGAACTTCAGGGACTTTCCACACGGATAAGAACGTGCGAACCCAATCCTGAAGCAGTCCATTATGTGCGTTTAAAAAAAAAAAAAAAAGACCATATAAATTAAGCTCAATCGTCAGCGTTTGTGGCGTAATGCTGATTGCATCACTTATTTTTTTACTATCAAATATCACACACACTAATGCGGATCAGCTGTTGAAGCTAATCTACTTTATCATCCGAATGCTGTTTACCTCGCATTCCTTCATTAGGCTGCGGAAATTACATCCGGCTTTCAGTTTGAGCTGGTGTGTTTTCTATTTTTCTTTTCTATCTTTAAGTGAAGGATCGCATTGGTGTTTCTCGAGATCTTGACGTTTTGAAGAAGTCTGGAGGGATTATCCACAAGTTTCCTACGCCCCATGAGGCCTTGCGTCAAAAGTGGGCGCGACTTCCGGTTGGAAGTAAACAAAACGCTACTTGACATGCTTGACACTCGTTCATTCAACAGTTGACAGTCATTCAAGTTATAGCGATCCAAACTAGCTAACGATGTGGGAACACAACCTCAACGAAATTCAAAAGGGTGAAATAACAGTACCTTTACCCTCCGCAGTAGTTGATTGGGAGTATTATAATAACATTATTAATTATCAATACTCATCAAGGCATGGTGACAGACAGTTGTGTGAGCTGACAAACAATTAAAATAAAAAATACACACTTAGTCATTGTGCTTTGGAGTTTATTCAAAATTATAAATGAATGTGCTGCTTGAATACATTAACTGGCACATTTGGTATTCTGTCAACACAGGCTTTGATCCTGAGTTTAGGTGTAACATCAGTAGCGAACAGCCAAACACATGCTGATAGAGTTTATAGAATATTAAGAATTTAAACAAATGTACACAGGAAGATTCGTCGTCTTTTGGGAGGTGATGGAAACTACAGTCGTTGGCAGGATCACTCTGATTTGGTTTTCAGCTTATGTTCAAAACAATCCCGTTTAAGCCACTAAATTAGTTTAATCCGGTTATACATACAACCGCGAACAGCACATGTTGTCCCTGAGCTTCGTAACGACATCTCTCATAAAGATTGGCGTCTTTAAATAGTAAAATAATTCTCCGAAAAACAGCTAGCCTCTTCGCTAACTAACACACAAAATACCATTGGAATGCTACTTCGCGTCACCGGAAGTTTCACCCACTTTATTTTTTACAGGAGCGCCCCTCGGAAACTTGTGGATAGACCTTATGTAGCCCCGCCCCTATCAGCGTTGCGCTCGTTGTCTTTTGACTTCCGGTCTGTATTTCACAGCGATCTTGAATGAACTGCTCGTAAAAAAAATTCCCGGTCGACATTTGTTAAGACATCTGCTTTACAATGCTCATGATAACTTTTGTTAACTCTACAATAAGTAAATCCGCTTCACCAGCTAATTACTCCTCGACAGCGATGCCATAGTAATATACAGAACCGGAAGTTCAAAGACAATATTCTAAAGATGACGGCGCCCATGTTTCGCTGGTGCGTAAGGTCTATAATGGTGGGAAAACATCTAAAAGGCTCGTCTCGTTGCGTTTCCCAGACAGCATCATGGTGTCGGTCCAGATCCGGCCCACATCTGGTACATGTGGATTCAACTCTCTTCATGAAGTTGTTTCACTTTCAAAAACAGAATTATTGAGCTCACCGATTAATAACCTACAAAATATTAAAGAATGTTTTGCAAACGCTGGACGTAGGCGGAAGCACCGCCCCATTGTTTACAAACACGGAGAAGGAGGATCGCTCAAGTTTTATTGTAAGTTGAATGACATTTTTGTCTTTGTGTCAGTTAATGGTCCTTTTGTGTGTGTATCCTGGATGTTTAAAACAATGGAGCGGTGCTTACGCCTTCGTCCAGCATGACCTTTCCAGCGTGATGATGTAATACCTGGCTCGTCAGACCAGCAATTGGCCTTATGCACAGCTGCACTACTTCCTGAACTTCAGGCAGCTCCTTGTTTCCTGTCTGCCATTATTGGTCAAATTGATTGATTCAGGTGTGCCTGACCTCAGTAGTCATGGCAACAATAATCAGGCACACCTGAATTAATCAAGTTTGACCAATAATGGCAGACAGGAAACAAGGAGCTGGCTGAAGTTCAGGAAGTAGTGCAGCTGGGCATAAAGCCAATTGACATGTGTTCTTTGAATGTTCCGAAACTTGTAACATTAAAAACAAAAAAAAGTTAGATAAATGCCCAACTAAAATGTTTCTGAAAAAAACATCCCAGATGGTAACATAGGGTTAATGTTAGTGTCTGGGATTCCAACCCGATCTCACGACCAAGTCGTACGAATTCGACGAATGATTAAAAAAGTGGCTAATTCGTAACAATTCATACGACCTCACACGTACGAATTAATACGATTTTGCTAAATCGTACATATTTTACGAATTGGCCAATTCGTATGAATGACCTACCCCTGACCCCGCCCCTAAACCTAACCATCACGTGGGTTTAGACAAATCGTAGGAATTAGTACGAGTGAGGTCGTACGAATTAGACACTTTTTAATCATGCGTCAAATTCGTACGAATTGGTCGTGAGATAGTGTTGCGGATTCCTTGAATAATGTATTGTGCTGATGTTTTGAGAACATTATTAAAGACCAGATAACTTTGACGAATTGTTCTATCCTCTGGTGCTCTTCGGTCCGAAGATGTAAATTTAGTTTTTTTCTTCATCGGAATGGTACAAAACTTGGTAAAGGTTTCGTCTCTTGCTGTGTGAACACACACATAACTCATGGCCGTGATGTGAACAGGTTTAATGGTGCTGTGATCAACAGTCTCACTTGTGCTCCTCGTGTCAGAAATGAATGGAGAGTTTCCTCTAGTGGAAGCGTTTGGAACTGCAGCCGAACTGAACGCTCGTTTACGGAGAGATCGGCTCACACGCGGACACACACTTCAGCTTTATGGCTTTGGTTGTCTTGCAGTTTTAGAATAAAATAATTTTGAAAATATATATTTTTATATAAAAATGAAAATAGTATTTTTGCATTTTTTAAAAACTTTTCTCACGTCAGCAATAATCCACCGAGTGTCGTGTCGAGAAGAGATCAAACTTCAGTCTGTCGCTCTAAAGCGTTAGAGATTCTCCAGAGATTTAATTTTCAGGTCTGTGCTCAAAAATTGAAAACGAACTGGAATGCATGTCTCACATTTGCAGAAACAGAAGTGTGTGTGTGTGTGTGTTTATGCCAAGAGCAAGTTCTTCATGTCATCGGGATCCTCGCGATCAGAGACATGCGATCAAGGAGGTAAATTAGTGTTTGGCAGGACAGTTCAGAGAGACACTGATGTCTGCTAATTAACCGGAGGCATTTCCATCGAGAAGTGTGTGTGTGTGTGTGTGTGTTCTGGGAACTCAACCAGTATCAGCATGTGCACACATTACTGCTAAAAATAACATTAATTTTGTTCATCATAAATTCATAAAACATTTATAATGTTACAGGAGATTATTTTTATTTTGAACTTTCCATTTATCAGAGAATCCTAAAAAATAAAGAGTTTCCAGAGAAATATGACTGACTTTGACATTGATAATAATCATAAGTGTGTCTTGATCATCAGATCCTCATATTAGAGTGATTTCTGGTAAAGCTGTAATAAATAGTAAAGCTGTGTTGTGTGTGACGGTCACGGTTGGCCCTGTTTATGCCGTTCGGTGCAAGGCATGCTGGGAAAGCAGAGCCCCTGGCGACGTCAGCCCGCATCAGTTTCAGTGCAGAGGAAGAGAGCGTCCACAAGCGTCACCTGAAGCTGACCAGATGCTTTCAGAAGTAAAGGTGGAAGAAAAACAAACCCTAAAGATGCACAAATGATCTTACTTCTGCTCACCAAAGCTGCGTCTATCTGATCAGAAATACAGCAAAAATATTATTAATGTAAATCATCAGTTTTTTAATGTGAATAAACAGTAAAGTGTCATTTATTCCTGTGATTTTCATCATCATTACTCCAGTCTTCAGTGTCACATGATCCTCCACAAATCACTCTAATATGAGGATCTGATGATTGTTATCAGTGTTGGAAACTCTTATTTACATTTTCTTTCAGGATTCTTTGTTAAATAGAAAGTTCAAAAGAACAGAATTGATCTGAAATATAATCGTTTGCAACATTATGAATGTCTTTACTGTCACGTTTGACCGATTTAATTAATCGTTGATGAATAAAAAGTGTTGATTTTTTATTTATAGGCCTAATAATAGTTTGTACTGACCCCAAAACTGTTGAACGCTAGTGTTTAAAGGGTTAGTTCACCCAAAAATGAAAATTAAGTCATTAATGACTCACCCCCATGCTGTACCAGCCCCGTAAGACCTTCGTTCGCCTTCTGAACACAAATGAAGATATATTGATTAATCTGAGGGCTGGATCACTGCTATAGGCTCCTAAGGGATCCAAACTTGACGACCCAGAGAAAGTCAATGAAGAAAATGTTATAATATTCCATGTGACTACAGAGGCTCAACTATAAGTTTATCAAGCGACGAGAATACTTTTTGAAAAAAATAATGAGTCGGGTCGTGTGTGTTCTGATGATCATCTGCAATAGAAACAAACCTCGAAGCGTCTCATGTTGAGACTTATTTCTAGTTTTCGTGTCGGCTGGTTTTGCATGTTCACGTTTGTTGATTTGAACACTTTGAACCCAAATCCAGCCGTTCCCCAGATGTGTCCAGCTCTCCTGTCAATCAAACTCCACAGTATGAGTTCACACACGCTCCAAACACACACACTATAGACTGAAACGAGTCTTTGTCCCTTCACAATAGCAGATCATTATAATCAGTGGATAATTACGGCCTGATTTTAAAGACAAAAGCCTCTTTTGGTGTGTTATAAGTGCACATTCACTGCCGGAGAGAGTTCTGGGACACGACACACACTCGTTACAGGAGAAACACAATCCCTGAAACACTGAACATGCTTGATATTCATACCAAACCATTAGAAAACTCACTTAACCAACACTCCCAACACAAACACAGAGAGAGAGAGACCTGTGTATTTTTACAATAAATAACTGTTTTCAAACAGGTTTCCAGTCAGATAAAGGTTTTTATGGTGGAACAATTTCACAATAACATTTTTTTCAACTGCTTTTACACACATTTTCCAAACTTTGCCTCTTTTTCAAAACTTTACACACACATCTCAAACGCAAACATTTCTCTTACGTCGCAAACACCTTTGCCATAATATAATGTTTTTGAATATAATAACTGTAAAAAATAAACCGTAAATTTTACGGTAAAAAAACCGGCAGCTGTGGATGCCAGAACTTTACCGT